ATACTACGAAATGTTGTCCATCAAGAAAGTGCCTAAAATGTCGGATAGCTTCAAAGATTGCTAGAAGTTCTCGGTAGTATGTTGGCCATTCGCATTGGCGTTTAGAAATTTTCTTCGAGAAGAAAGCTAGTGGTTGCCAAGTTTTCCCTATTTGTTGTTGCAGCGATGCTCCTATTGAAATTGTACTAGCGTCTGTAAACAAAGCTAACTTGCCGTTGACCACTGGGCGATGTAAAAGAGTAGCATTTGATAGGCTTTCTTTGCAATTAATAAAAGCCTGCTGTAGTTGCTCGTTCCATTCTATGATAGTGTTATTTTTAACGTTTGGTCCTTCTAGCAGTTTTTGAAATGGAGCTTGCAATTCAGCCGCACGGGGAATGCATCGGCGAAAATAGTTAATCATTCCTAGAAATCTGCGCAATTCTTGTATGTTAGTAGGAGGTTTGATTCTTACAAGAGCTTCCACTCGTTCCTTAATTGGGCGTATACCATCTTTAGAGACTGTGTATCCCAAAAAATCAATTTCCGGGACACTAAATATGCATTTGTCACAGTTAATTATGATACCATACTGCTGAAGTCTTTCGAAAATGCTTCGTAGATGTCTTGAACGCTCTTCCTGGTTTCTTGATGCAATTAGCAAATCGTCGATATAAGCATAGCAAAAATCCATACCTTGTGTGACTTCGTCGATAAACCTTTGAAAGGTTTGGCCTGCATTACGAAGTCCGAAGGTCATATAAGGAAATTCGAAGAGTCCGAAAGGAGTTGTAATTTTTGTTTTTGGTATATCCTCCTCGTTGACCGGAATTTGGTTGTAAGCCTTCACCAAGTCGATTTTGGAAAAAACTTTCATTCCTTGAAGATGCTGCGTAAAATCGTAAATGTGCTTTACCGGGTATCTATCTGGAATAGTACGAGCGTTGAGTGCCCTGTAATCTCCGCACAGGCGCCATCCGAGGTTTCGTTTAGGTACCATGTGAAGCGGCGCGGCCCAGGGGCTGTTTGATCGGCGAGCGATTCCGAGCTTCACCATTTCTTCAAATTCTGTTTTAGCTATTTGAAGGCGTTTCGCGTTGAGCCGTCTTGGTTTAAAATAAATCGGAGGCCCTGGTGTTGTATTGATATGGTGTGTTGTTGAATGCTTCACTTTGTGAGGTGCTCCTTGAGGTCTGGTAATATCCGGAAATTCTTGCAATAGGCTGTGGTGCTCCTTTCGCAAGGTTTTAACAGTTGGGTCGACTGCATCTGATATTTTTCCCGTTATTTGTGCTTTTGTATCTCCTTCTAGTAGCCGTTTGTTGCGCAGATCTACCAATAGGTTATAAAATGATAAGAAATCTGCTCCAATAATGGGTTTTTCGACGTCGGCTATCACAAACTTCCAAGAAAAATTCCGTTTAAGGCCGAAGTTCAAAATTAATTGCACTGTCCCATAGGTCGCCATTTTCGCACCATTTGCCGTATATAACGTATATTCGGTACGCGGATGCTGCCCTTTCAGTTTTCTGCGAGGGTATACACAAAGATCCGCGCCCGTGTCGACTAAAAATTCTTGTTTGGATGCTTTGTCAACAACTAATAGGCGGCTTGTTGAGCTAATTAATTGACAGTCATGCGCCGCATTCATTGACTGTCGTTTAAGTTTAAAGATTTAAATGAACAAGGATTATTACACTTCCGTGCTTTAGCTCCGAATCTTGAGTGGTACTGGCAATAGCCGCGTGGAGATGGAGGCACGACTTTCGACCTTGATGGTAAGGTTCGGTACCTGGCTTGGGTGAGGGCTTCAACTTGCTTAGCTAACAAGTCAATATTCGAATTTAATGTAGCGTTCTGGTTTTGAAGCTCCAAAATTTGTTCTGAAATGGTATGATTTATTTCTTTAGACGTGGATGGAACTTGTTTACTAACTGCTTGGATTTGATGCTGCAACGATATATGGGCGATTTTATCCGCCATGCCTGCTATTTTATCCAACTCGAGATTGTCGTGTGCTGATATGATGGCTTGAATATTTTCTGGAAGCCGCCTGATCCACAATATCTTGAGAATACTATCGTCGACTTTTGCCCCGCCTAGTGCGCGCAAATGACGCAAAAACTGCGATGGTCGTCTGTCGCCGATTTCTTCTCTGTCCAGTGACTGTTCTAACTTACGATCTTCTGACATCGATACTCTCTTGATGAGGGTACATTTCAATGTTTCATACTTATTCTCTGTTGGTGGTTTCAAAATAATGTCTTCAACCTCGGCTGCGTATTGTGTCTCTAAGTATGCGATTGCTACGTAAAACTTTGTAGTGTCAGCTGATATATTCGAAAGCGCAAATTGTCCCTCAAGTTGCGCAAACCATAGCTGAGCCTTTTCAGGCCAAAACGGCGGAACTTTGACACCGACTCTTTCCACCTGAGATGGCGGGAAAGATATTTGCTCTGGCTTCTCCGGTTTTGACATGCTCGACTATTCTCACGTCAGGGGTCACCAATGTAGCAGGTACAGTCTTCTACTCCTTGAATCCACTGTGAGTTCAGGCAGGCAAGTGAAGGGCCGAGTATTGCTGCGCTGTGGTTTTATACCATAGAGGATAACGGTGCATGGCAGGGACGCGCAACCTGACGTAGTGCGCCAGGGCTGTGCAACCTTATCCTATATATATATATATATATATATAAATATATAAATATATTTATATATATACATATATATATATATATATATATATATATATATATATATATATATATATATATATATATATATATATATATACCAGGCACTCCAGGTTACTATTAACAGCCTCTCCTTATTGTTTATAAAAAACAGATAGCAGAATAAAATTAATAAAAAAATATCAATAAAGGGCGCTGACTAAACGAATTGAAACGTAATGAAACAAACATGCTACATTTTTTTTCTTTCGGACCCTATCTCAAACACGCTATTATCGTGACATTTACTAACAGAGCCTAGCACCACCGTACCCTCTGCTTGTCTGTCCTAGCGAGGAATTTTTGTTGATGCAACGTAACGGGAAGCAGCTATATTTATGTGAAAACATATTTTTATTTATATTTTCGAGTTAAAATCAATATCATAACTGGTTGACATCAGGCTGCTGATGTCAATTCTGATTCAGATTCCATCGCTCTAGTCACATATCTACAAGCGATTTAAAAACTAAACTATAAAACCAATAAAAAGTAGACATAAAAGACGCTAAACAGTTTTGAAAAAAAAACATTAAAAAAATATGAAAATAATTATGATAACACAACATATTAGGAACATACGTTTTCGTGATCAATAACTATAAACAATAAAATAAAGTATGTTGAAGAAAAATTTATTTCTTCCAGAATAATCACTTGTAAAATAATATTTTATTATTTTTATCATTCTAGTTCATTTGCCTTTCTAGATTAGCTGCTTCTTATTTGATACGACTATTTTGTAATTTATCATTTGTTTTCAACTTCAGATTTTCTCTGAATTAACGTGATTATTAAAATGTGTTTATAAATAATACTTCCAATATCCTTAATTTTTCTCTATATTGATGAACGTTTTAATAATTGTATCAAACTCTAACCTATTTCAGTGTGCCATATATTTTCTTTTGGATGAATCTTCTTTTTCTCTACAAGATTGATAATGGCATCATAGAATGACTATAGAAGTGTTGGCAAAGATCTAATTTGTCACACCTAGATAACGACTTCGATTGAATAGAATTGTCAATACAACTAAATCTCCAAAAAAGCACATGCATAACAGTCTTTTAAACAATTTAGCCAAAGTAGTCAACGAATATTGCGGAAGTTTGAACTATTTCGATACTCGTCAAAACGTTTTTGAGACCAGCATAAAAAATAAAGACTTTAAATACGTCAAAGTTCCATACAATAAAATAATATGTGCAATTAATTATTAGATTATGTTACTAAAGTATTGCGTTACCAAAGTATTATGCATAAAGTGTACGTATATTCTTTTATAATATATGTCAGTATTCAAATTCAATATTAGTATATTCTTAAGTTATAAAATTATTATATTAATTAATTAGTGTAATGTTATAAATTTACTGTACATAGCCGATTGACATATATATAAATAAACAAACTAGTTGGTATTTGTGTGTATAAATAATCGACTTAATCAATAAAAAGTAAATTAATTTATGAGTGAATAAAAGTATTCCGAGTTAACGATCACGTTAAGTATTTTGGACTATTTTCTAAAATCAAATTGAGCCAGATTCCGTAGGACTTTAATGGATCAGTATGTTCATTAATATCAAGTACTCTATCTAGTAGTCGTCTAATTTTAATTTTAACAAACATCAAAAAACTACTCATTTTCTCAAACTTTGATGAATTTTAAAAATCAAACTACTTGTCGTAAGGCCGTAAAATTTCAGTAAGTTCTGTGAGACCATGATATATATCGCCAACAAAGTTCCATAAAAATCGGCTTATATTTTTTTTCTACAGTTAATTACAAGTAAAGGGGACGGTAGATTTCCACCTAAATCTAATCAGTATCATTCCCAACTAATATCTTTCGAACAGTTCTTGATTTTTTAAAATCGATTTGGTAGTATAAGCTTAAATGTGAACGGAAAGTTTAACACTTTTTTTTTCAAATTACAAAGGAACGGCTCGGCCGATCGTCGCACAAGACTGAGAAACGATAATCCTCATCTAGATACATCAAATGGCGTTTAAATTTTTGAAATCCAGCTTTTTTTTAGAAAACGTCGATTTACGGCAAAAAATCTGTTCACACGCACACACACATACTTTTTCTAAATTTGGTCTCATTCGATTCAGAATGACTTGAAACGCCAAGAAAACATAAAATTAGCGAATCGGATTTTTTGATGAAAACATAAACTTCTCCTTCGGGAAGATAATAAATAAATAATTATAGTTGCGGTACGTTGTTGTGAAAAAATTGCTTTATAAAATGAAATTAAAAATTTATTTTTATTTCAGAAACTAAAGTATTCGATAACTCCAGTTGTTTACGAATGCAGTGTTTGTGGTGAACACAATTGTGAACACATGGATAATGATTATGCCGAATCTGGCCAAGAATTATCTTCTATGCTGATAATGCGACATCCACAACAGGCCACGCTACTGAAGGCACCGCCTGCGTCTCACGTGAGACGTCACGTACCACTGAATGATGCTAATGAGCAACAACAAGAAAGTACACCGCCAGCGCCTGAGGGTCAGGTGCCAATTACAGAAGATCCAAGCGATGACACCAATATAGAAAATAAATAAAAGTGGAGAAAATAAAGTCGATTATATATGTATTAGGGTGGTCCTTAATATGGATATTTTCAAAATTCCTTTGTCCCAGGGGCTCAAATGCTTCTAACATTCAGAATTTAGAATCTAAATTGATTAAAACAAAAAGAAAGTTATACCTCTATCTATTTATCAGTTTTAGGAATGTCCGCACTCCAATTTGGAAGCATTTGAGCCCCTGGGAGCAAAGAAATTCGAAAATATCCGTATTCATGAGCATCCTAATATATATACATGCTAAGAGTAGTTAAATTTAATATAGCATTGTGTGATGAAATTATTGGAATTATTGGATGTAACATCAAGTAAAGGGTATAGATTTTCATCTATATCATCAAATTCAACATTATTATTATTCCCTGCTTTTCGGAATAAAATCTCATTACACTATCAGTAGAAACTTTTTTGAGGAAAACTAACACAAAATAATAATACCAAATAACAAGTACGTAATTTTAATATTATAAAGTAATGCTTAAATTGCAACATAGCACTATTTGTCTGTAGTCACTATTTTAAATGATATTTTTTATAAAAATGTAGATAAATGCTGCAAATGTAGCAAATAATAAATATTACATATACAAAAGTACTTAGTGACTGTTTCATAAAATACTTTCTAAATGAACGCAGAGATGTGTAGGTGTTTGAGGCTACTTCAGTTTATTTAATAAACAATATGCACTATTTTATATGAAACCATACGTTCAATTTGCATGGCTATAAGGATCTTTATCACGTGTCGAATGTCTCAGAAAAACGCTTTCCGAAATCGGCTCTTCTTTTACTGAATATTAATAAACAAAATGATACTAGTTTTTTTTGCAAAAACCATCAATATATTCCAAATAATCCAAATTTGTATAAAAAATCTAATATTGTGCTACAACACTACCTACACACACTTGTAGACACCGATATATCCTTATATTGCAAATACGTGCCGAGAGTTTTCAAAAATGTTTGCTTTGCACATTTACAGCTCTTACTATATATATTTTATAAAAAGTGACCACTGACACAAAGTGCTTTATTTCAATTCGTTTTTACTTAAATGTAATTTTACATTATTATGTGTTAGTGTTAGTCTTAGAAGTTTAAAAACGTATTGTATTTTGTAATATTTTAATTGAGATTTATATATATATATATATATATATATATATATTATAATTATTATATATATAACTATATATATATATATATATATATATATATATATATATTTCATTCATTTGGTTATAATTTTTTGTTTACATTTTGTTTATTGTTTTCCTTTTTATGTTTATTTCAAAATTATAAAACAATTGATGATGACGTAGAATTTTACGTCAAAACGCATGGAAAAATGTTTAAAAATCTTTACTTCAATTATTTTTAAATTTTTTACTTGATGTTATGCTCGCACACACACACACAGATATATGTATATATACATATATATATATATATATATACATAAATATATATATATATATATATATATATATATATATATATATATATATATATATATATATATATATGTATATATATATATATATATATTGTTGAGCTTCGAACAAAGAATCCAAAAAGTAATAAAATAATCAAAAACCATTTCTTTATTTATTTATTATCGACGTTTCGGAACTAGGTATGTTCCAACTTCAGGACATCTGTCAAGAAACATGATTTTGATAAGATTTAAGCAAACAATATGTTTAGGAAAATTATAAGATGATGGATTTTTTAAATTAATAACATTGTTGAAAAAATAATATATAGAAATATGACAATATAATCAAAATGAAAATGATAAAAATAAATGAGTAACAAAATATTGAAAATGTTAAAAATTGAAAAGTTTTAGAAAGTTTTAAGAAAAGGTTACTGAAAAAAAACAGAATTAATTACCTGTATGATTGAATATACACTAACACTTTTTTACAAACACAGATTTTATCAAAAAAGTAAATTTATAAATTTCTTTTCTGACGAATAAATAAATTTTGTAAACCAAAATTTCTTTAAATCAAATATTTATATATATATATATATATATATATATATAATAATTGTTTAATATGAACAAAACAGCACTCAGATTTTTTTATCACAACTTTATTTTATTATTACAAACGTTTCGAGACTAAGGTGTGCCTCATCATCAGTGTAATTTCAATAACAGTTATTTATTACTAAACATTATTTTTAATATTTTATTTAAAACTAAATTTGGACTTTTTAATATAAAACATCAACTATACCTTGCATTGGCAAGTGACAATTGTTTCAATCAATGCTTGACACTACTGACTGACATGTGACATTTACAGAATTATTTGAAACAAAACTGAAGTATCTAACGGAGACAGGATGGGTAAAAGTAAAGAATAAGATAAATGAAAAAATTATAAATTATTAATAATGTTTATATAAGTGTCATGTAAAATATTTGTGTCGGTTCTCAGATTTATGCTATTGTTAGTCCGAACTATTAACATTGATTCTGCCATGCTCCGTTTAAATACGTCTTTCTCATGGAATAAGATTTGGGGATTGTCAAAATCAAACTTATGGTTGTTGATACTAGCATGATCCACAAGTGTACTTTTAAATTATTTATATTTATTTATATATATATATATATAGATGACCCGACATACGTTGTCCTGTACCCATATCTACGTTTTTTTAATATCATATACTAATATTTAAACCGTTCAGTTAAAAATAATCATTATTGGTTTTCGAATTACTATTAACACCAATACATGAGTGATGTTAAATGTAGAACTGTTTCAAATAAAATGATTATTCTGAATTCCCACAGTTAACACTTTAATTATCCATTTAACAAATATTAAAAATTGTTCAATAAAATTGTATATTAAAAATTATACACTGCAAATTTATTTCCAATAGCTCAATTTATTTTAATGCCAAAGGTTATACAATTTTTCAGTCGTACCTGTAGATGTGAATGTATAAATAAATAATTTTTTGTTTATTCACGACTAAAACATTGATTTTCCAAATTTATCACACAAAAAATCATCATCTGCCTTTGTGATTTATGGTCATAGCATAAGACACACGTGTTGAAAATTGAAGTCTTTTAAAAGGTATAACAAATTCAGAAAGAATTAATATATAGCATTCGCTGTATAAGTACAATATCACATTGGATTTTTCTACCCAAAATAAATGCTTTAATAATGTTGCCTATAATTTTTATAATTACGTACAATATTTTAACTGGCTTTTAGTAATTTACGATCTAAATTAATTTTTTTTTCACTTATAATTCAATATACATTATTACTTAAGTTTATATTTGAAGTGAATTAATTTGTCAAATCCTGTTCACATGTGCTCTATTCAACCTACGATCAACAAAATTATTGCAGTAAATGGAGAGGAAAAAAGCGTGTGTCGGAAATGGGCTAATCTTTATCTTAAGTCCAGAAGTGAAAACAATTTGCACTTTGTCACCACCCACCGGATTAATTGAATTATAACTCTTTTAATTCTGATTTATCAGTACTTACAATACACTATTTTAGAGGTAATTAAATGAGCTACAACTTTCTCTATCATAAATTTTACCGTAACTGCTCGGCAAAGGATTGAAGGACTCGAAAGACACTCTGGTTGGACACTATCAATATTTGTGTAACAGAAAAATAATAAAAAGCAATTATTGGTCAGTAAAAGACCTTGAATTTTCATTTATATAAGTTTATACGTATCTTTTATTTTTTTAAATAGATTTTTTTTCATGAAATCATGAGCTTTTTAGAAAAAAACGATGAAAAACGCAAAAAACAACAAATTTTCAGTAGCCAGTAACTTGAAAAGTAATTTCTTTTTTGAAAAACATTATTAAACATTTTTCTCTTCTAATTAGTTCTTTTATTGATATCCGACGTTAGTTTGAAAGAGATACAATTGCACCACTGAAAAGGGATGTCATCCCCCCGGGAAGTGGCAAATGATTCTAACTTATTTTTACTTTTAAACTTGAGAGTAAGATGAACCTAATTCCAAAATTTCATGCAAATTGGAGCACATTAAAAATATTCAGACCCAAAATGCTCCATTGTCTTGAGTAAATATTTCATATCCAATGCCAAACATATGAATTTTTGACACAATGAAACTTCTAAATAATTGTTTGAATAAGTAAATTATTTATGTATCGTGATTTAGTAAAGTAATACAAAACACTACTGCATTTAAGAGTGAAAAAATAATAATCAGTCAAAGTGAATTATAGGCTAAATTTGATGTGCGATCACTGACAGACGCATGCGCAGACTGCATCACCTGTCAGATGTTGACTGTAAATCTTATATTATTTTAATTTTTGGCACATCTCAGCTGCTTTTTGGCAATAATAATGTAGTCATTACATTTTTCTTATTCATAATCATAAATATATTATATTTTAATATTGTCTTAGCCTATAAGTGAATGGAAATGTTTGGCAAATGACAGTTTTCATTTGTTTCAATGTCAAACCATGCCTTAAATATTTTCAAGGGCAAACAATGATAAGCGTTTTTTTGTAATTTTTTCCATTTATTTCTACAATCTAACTATATTTCTATGAATCTAAAAATTCTAGAAAATTTCCCAAACAAACTTCAAGAAGATTCATGAAAATCCGAATTATAGTTTAGGAGGATTAACCATTCATACATAGTTACAGAAGAATTTTATATATAAGATTTATATATATATATATATATATATATATATGAGTATGCGTATGTGTGTGCGTATGTAAATAGGCTTGTAGATAATTAGTTCAAACACAAAAAAAAATTCAATCATTATCCGTTTGGTCTCATTCAGTAATCGATAAAAAATTATATTTTACTTGTTTTTCCTGTATTTTGTTGTTAGTATCATAATTGTAACATAAATTATGCTTTAAGAAATTATTTATGATAACTACTAAACTATTAATTTGAATATTATGTTATTGTC